AGCTACAGGATTGAGAGAGTGAGAGACTGAGTGAAACCCTAGGTCACCATATATATACTCAGGGCGTCATATCGGGCTGGTTTGAGCTTTTCTCATTGCTAGTGGGCTCGGCCACGATTAACCGGCCTCCGAAAATATGGGTATTTTTTGAGGCAGGGCCACTTATAAGGCCCGACTCCGTTAATAGATTTTAAGAGGCGGTTATTTTAACAGTCTCCGTAAATCGATTTTGCGAGGCGGTTAATTGTGGCCGCCACGGTCAATCGACATGCATTAACCGAGACGTGCAATCAGCCCAACCGTCTCCGAGGCTATTTTCCAAACGCCTTGTAAAAGATTTTACGTAGTAGTGAAAAGATTGGATCATTTTCACCATCGCTAGAAATGCATATTCTATATATTATGATGACGATGTATTTGATGGATATGCAAATTAAGCTTTTTCTTACGATCACGATACAGATATACCATAGACACTCTCATATACACACACACACACTCACCTCTCTAAACACAAACGCGTGCATATACCCTGTATCTATGAACACTTCCGAAACTAGACAAAATGTTAAATGTCATTTCACCTATGTACGTGGACAGGACAAGCATTATTGTGAAGCAGAGGAAGTCACAACGAAAAATTTCAATGATCTCTCCCACCTAACCTGCTTGTCACCAATGGAAGCAACGTGGGCTGGACTTTGTGCCGTCCTGATCGGACGCCAGCAGAGCGTGATTAGTCTTGTAGTTTGAGACGCAACAAACTTTGTTGGTTTCTTATTGGGCACTGGCTAGCTATCTAGAGATCACTAGAGTATGTGGTTAGTGCTAAACACAGTGCTTAGTAGTACATGCATGCATTTGGGCAAAGATTATCTCCAGATGATTATTTTCCTACTTGATAATACTATTCACGAGTCCATGTCTCTTCCGGCTCGCCAGAAGGCATCTTCACTTTTGCTTCATCAGTTACATACGCCATATATGTAGGTGGAACAAACCTAGCTAAAGACATGCATCACAACACAACTGTGTAGTCTCTCTTGTACAACTGCCATTAACATAGATAATGTAAATAAGCCCTTAAAGTTGCATCTAGATTAGCATTCCTTCTATTATTAAAAAATAAAATAAAATATCCCATAGAGTCTATATATAAAGTTCCAACATATGTTATTATGAAAAAAGTTTGAATAACCATGAATCTTTTCTATAAATGCTTCTAAATTATCGACTTCTATCACTCCTAACATATAAAAGGTAACTTAAAATAAACATACATGTTATGCATTCTTGCAAATGAAGTATATATCAATACATGCATGAGACATAAGTACTTTTTTCTAGGATCCAAAAAACAAGAAAAATGTTCCTTTAATGATTCATATAATTATGACACTAGCAAATTATTTAAAATTTTATAGAAATACCTTAAAGATAATAATTATTATTATGTAACTTTGCACTTTAGAAAATTTTACAGATTTTGGTTACAATATTATATCATATCTATATTGATAGTATAATTGTAAGCGCTCTATTACTATAAAGAATCACTACTGCATGTATAATTCTTTGGTAGAAAAAATTCAATATCTTAAACACCAGAGGTCAATGCAAACCAAAGATTGTCATGTCCCTTTCTGGTTTTTGAATTTTGTTTGGAGTGAACATTAATTTCTTGGCTTAGATGTTAATATCATCCGGAGGTTAGCAGTATTGGCTTCTCCTAGATCTCACTTAAAGCACTGCCCATCTTGAGGATGTCGTGGTTCAGGTGTAAACGAACATGTATATCATCATTTTAATTAAGAGTGCAGCCTAGACATAAAAGTCATTATTTTTTAATAAAATTAAGATTTTTCAGTAAAAGCTACAATAAGGGCAAGAGTTTCAACTAACATCCTGATAAAAATTTGTAGTGACTAATAAGATCAAAAATTTAAAATCAATATATATCCATGACATCTCGCGAGACATAGTTTGCAACAAGAGCTACCATAACATAAGATTCAACTAGATGCACACTAAAGACCATGAAGTTCCATGCCGAGAGAGAAATCTACGGACCAGGTATGAAGAAACTGTATAGAGTATTTGGTAAGTTCATCACAACTGTATTATGATTTGGCACATAAATGTATTAGATGTTTGACAGGCTAGTCCTCAAATTTGATTTGGCACCCCAGCAAGTTGCTGATGGCAGTATCTCATATCTGAATGGTTATTAGACTAGACATAGTAAATAATTAAGCAGTAGCATAGACCGGTTGAAATGTAGTTGTCAGAAAAGGAGTTGTGTTCTCTTGACTACACCACCATGCATAGTGTGTGAATTGTGGTGGGTACTCCACCGATCAAATCAGCCATTGAAATGCAGAATCAGAAAAATGCTTGTATATATCCAAATTGTTCTCTGTCAGGACGTGCTTTTTCAAGAGCAAACAAGCAAGCAATGCATGATCGGTTGGTCGAGGAGTTAACGGAGTGTCAAGTCTTGGTGGCCTCGATGACTAACCATTCATGTTCCTTCAAGTTCATTAAACTAAAGCCTCCTGTTTCTGACTGATGTTTCGATGGCAAGTAGGCAACTAGTTAGAAGGCTACGAGAAGCTGGAATAATGCATCACGCGGGCACTCATGAAGGTGACATGACATCCTAGGATGGAGCTGCATGCACTTCACCCACCCAACTAAAGGGAACCACCGACAGGAAAAATTCTATCAAGCACACACTATGTATAGGAGTATTTATGTATATCACGCGCTTTATCGTGGGCTTTAACGCTTGCACGGGTAATTATAAATCCAATTGATTGGCTGATTGCTGTAGCCATGCATCTAGCTATCTCTAATGGGCAGAGTGCAGAGCGTGCTTGGGGAGCATAATGACATGTTAACACGTCCAGTTAACGACTTAGCTTATTGGGCATGCAACAATGGAGGCATATATCTACAATATGTGGATTCGAGTGCTATATATGTGGGACATAAATATAGATGCTTCGCATCGATCCCTCTATATATGTCGGTACTCTTTCTGGTTACACATAAGTGATGTCGTTTTAAGCTAGGTTGTGTGAAGTCAGCCATTCATCACACGTTTTTTTTGTGACCTTTTGTATTAATATATTCTATATAGGACATAAATACCTGCTCCCCTAGGTTGTTGATATATATATATATATATATAACAAATGGTTTCGAGGTTCCAATTTTTTTTGGCCCTACTGAATTCAACAATGACAATGAAAACTTGGCTTGACTTTGTGAGACCGTTAAAAATGATGTTATTTGCGTTTGTAGTAATTAACTAATCATATATCATCACTAATTGGAGGTTCTAATGGAGCCTCCACGTTACGATGCGACATGTTAGGAAACATATAAATTCTCAAGACAGAATGAAATATATGGCCATAGAGTCTAGTCACCATTGATAACAATAACCAGCTTTCTAAGAGTCTACCCACATATGCCATTTGAAGAACAACATAAATAACCCCCAAATACGTATTTAAATAATCCACATATGTCATTTTAAAAACATAATCTAATGTAACCATCTAAATTTGCATCTAAATTACCCACCCTATCATTGGGATAGATAATCCAAATAACCCATCAAATTTTCATCTAAACTACCCCTTCTGTCGTTATGAAAATAAATTGAAGCACCCCTTAAAACCTACATATAAATTAGCAACATATGTTACTGTAAAAATGTGTGAATAAACATAAATTACAACCTTTGTATGGTTCTAAATTACCCACTTCTATTACTATAAATATATAAAAACTAACTTAAAGTAAATATATATGTCGATCAATCATAAAGATCAAGTATATATATAGGGGTAAACTATAAATATAAACTTTTATTCATGCTTAAGCTAACAAATTTATGTAAGTTCTTACTTTAGATAAATTTATGTATTTTAATAAAATATTATGACATATCCATATTGACGGTATATAATTGCAAGTGTCTTTTTTTGAAGAAAAACATTGTTACACATATAATTGTTCGACAATAAGAAAAACTTCATGAACATGTCAAGTAGTAGAGGAGTCTATTAGTTTAGACCAACGATGGTTATGACTTCCTTGGTTTTTTAGATTCATTTGAAGTAAACAACGTTCATGATTAAAAATTGTAGGAGCTAAGAAGATACTTCCTCAGTCCTAAATTATAAAACGTTTTGGCATTTCTACATTCATAACTTTTACTATATATATATATATAATATATATATATCAGGGTACATAGCAAAAGCTATGAATCTAGAAAAAACAAAACGTCTTGTAATTTGGAACGGGTGAGTAACAATATATAAGACAAACTCTGAAGATTCATAGCGTCATTACGAGAAATGTGAGAAGCAAAAGAGTGGAAAGATAGAGTTTTTGAATCTTTCCATCCTTAGAAGTTTCGTTGATCATTGAGGATAATATAGCTAGCATAGCACTCCAGATAGGAGATAGCTAGGGCGGCATGGGATTCTTTGATCTTGCAGGCTCATGCACCACCCAACGCAAACAAGAGTCAACACAAGACACAAGCATAAAGGTGCTATTGCCACGCACGCAGCTACACACTCGCACCGTCACAGCCCACCAAACCACCAAAAATTCCATCGCAACTAGCACGTCGTACTGTACGTACTGTACAGCACTACAATAGCGGTGATGGGTACATGACCCGGTCACGACTCACGAGTATAAAAACGAGGGGATCGATGCGCCGCGCCAGCCATTGACGCTTTCGAGATCGATAAATGACGGCGGCGGCCTTCCCCGACCGATCCAGCATGATGGCGATATCGGCGAGCCGGATCCACCCGTCGTCGGCCGCGGAGACGACGACGACGCGGCCTCTGGCGCTGGCGCCGGCGCCGCCTGTTCCTCCCGGACGTGGCGGCGCCGTCAGCGGAGGAGACGCCGGACGCGCGCCGGTTCCGGCGGTGGCGCTGCACCACACGGTGTGGATGCGGTCCAGCATGGGGTTCCACGGCACCGACGGCTTCTCCGTCTACGACGCCGCCGGCGCGCTCGCCTTCCGCGTCGACAACTACTCGCGCCGCCGGAAGGTGTTCGCTGGCGAGCTCCTCCTCATGGACGGCCAAGGCGCGCCCCTCCTCGCCCTCAGGCCGCAGGTACGTCCGTCCGTGTCGTCGTGATCCGTCCCGGCCACCCATCTGCAGTCTCCAAAATTTCATTTTGAGTAAACCTACGCGATTGATCCAGCCGCAAGTCGCATCGATCGACCGACCGATCGGTCATCGTGTCCTCGCAACAAAATGGGGTCTTTTTCAGATCGAAAAATGGTGCTCCCTACTCTGCACTCGGCAGGATTCTTGGCGAGAGTTGATCCATGATCTCTGTAGCTCCAAACACAACCTTTTTCCTTGTTTCATTCGAAAAATAATCCTGTCGCCACATCGGCTGTATGTACGTACTGGTTGTTATATATGGCCTCTTTGTCCTAGACTCCTAGTACCAGTACTGCAAACATTTGGTGGCTCTCCAGGAGATTCAGACCAAATGAATACGACAATTCGTTACATCAAATTCAGTCAGTTCACTCCTTTAAGATAAATGCACACCAAGGAAAATACGAACCAAACAAATGTGTCTTTTTTTCCGAAAAAAAATTACATACCAAACGTGTTCTCAGACAGAACAGACAAAATGCTAGCTTTGTATTCTTCCCTGTAAGTATATATCCTGTCAAACTAAACTCGATCGGTTACTTCGTTCAAAGTTCTTCGCCATATACCGTCTGAGCGAAATTAAAGCCAAATCCAATGTGTCTGCAAATTCACTACTACTAATGGGAGGAAAGGCTAACTAACAAAGCTATATATATCCCTCTTTTTTTTTTTTGCAACAGATTTTCAGCATGCACGACCAATGGAACTGCTACACAGCATCAGAAGAAGGCCAAGGCAAGAGCACAAGACCACTCAGACTCTTCTCGATGAGGAAATGCTCGGTTCTACAGAAAGGCCATGAAGCAGAAGTGTCCATGTCAGGATCATGCAGCACCAGCTTCTGGGTCGAGGGCTGCTTCAGGAGGAGAAGCTGCAAGATCCGCAACAGCGACGGCGAGGAAGTGGCGAGGATAACGAGGAAGAAGTCGAATTCGTTGACGCTTGGAGACGACGTGTTCAGCCTCGTGGTCCAGCCGGGCGTGGATTGCGCCATGATCATGGCGTTCGTCGTCGTTCTGGACCGGATCTGTTGGAAGCCGTACACGCCCTTGATCTGCTCCTAGCCGTAGCTTAGCTTGGCCATGAGAAGCTAGGCATTTTCTGAGTACTGACAACTATGGAGTTCTTGTTCAGGGATGATCATGATCACTGAAGCAAAGAGACCACGGTGATTTAGTAAAGAAAGCTGGGTAGGAAAAAAAATACAGCCGTAAATTGGCTACGATTGACTGGGACCTGACTTGTCGAATTTCTCTGGATATAACTTGTAGGCAGAGATGATTCTAGTTTTCTGAAAAACAAACGCAAATGTATGAGGTGCAGTTACTTAGAACCAATTGTATTCTCATACCACGGATTCATAGCAGTATTATAAATGCTACTGCCTACTGGTTTGTCCTTCCAAAAAAAAAACATGCTACTGGTTTCCACCTGGCTAGAAGAAGCATTGGAGATGCAAAGTGAAAAGTGACAGATGCTTGTCGAATCCTGAAAGGAAATTCGCTCAAGGAGCGAACTTAACTTGTGAAGACCAAACACAACTAGTAGAGTACTCCCTGTATTAATTAACACTCATGGCTGCTATTTCATCTGTTAAGATCTCCTGCAATCCTGATAAAAATAAAAGATTCACATGACATTTGGCATATATTGCCGAAATAGCATATCATATTCAGCGCATGAGAGGACTTCTTCTGCACCAAAAACAACAGAAGCATCCAGAAGGAGGGACAAGGTGTAGGGAATATTGCTACAACTCATCGCTTCTCTTACTCACCAAGAGTCTTTAAATATTTTAGTTTACTCTTTTCCATGTCGGCTGTATTTATAACTGCAAAAACTAAGCATCGTGTTGCTAAAGAATCTGTGTCCGACAAATCCTGTGAAATGGCAAGAATATCAGCACAAACTTAGTCACTTAAAAGGAATCAAACTTTGATTAGCTCAATGAGAAAAAGAGCAAGAACTTAACAGGTAGGATACAAAAACTTAAGTCGAGTAGTAGTAGACCAGTAGTTGAGACTTTCTCATCACCAGAAAACCCATGAAAAATCTTCTGCCAAAAAAAGAAATGGCACGAAGGTTTTGTGGACGTATAGGCTTCGCTGAACCCCGTTACCAAACCTTTCCACGTAAGACGCCAATATCACAACATATGGTCTGCAATATTAGGTTACAAGGTTGGTCCCATTGAGACATTGAGCCCTGAGGAAACCACAAATGCAGCTTTGTGGCCGTGACTCGTGAGATGACCTGAACTTAGGAGTCGCACTCGTCAAATGCGTCATCAAGTACGGCTTCTAGTCAGCAAGCATGTCCTAAACCACTTTTTGCCCAACGCCAACTTTTGCATACGTGTAGACGCACTCAACTTGCTCAGCTGTGCTCAAGCCAGTCCTGCATGCATTCCCTTGACAATGAGCATGACTCGCTGGTGTATGCATATATGCATGCAATTGGCTGATCTGTTCTTATTTTTTGAGATAGGTACGGTCTCCCCTATTTTATTTCCCAAGACAACAATCTAATGCATAATTAAGAAAAAAGAGGCCCAACCTAGAGGAGTAACGACTAGGAGAGTTTTTTTTTCATTAAGAAGTTTGCAAACTCACCGGCGACAAACTCATCCATGTGTGCAAAAAAGTGCAGTGCAAAAGGCAAAAGGCCATGCATGCATGGCGAGGCGCCGACGCACAAAACAACCGTCCATTGTACAGTCAGTTACAGCACAACCAAACCAACGGCCGTTGGATATGACTGATGACTGCCTCTGCTACTGCCTTTTTTGTATTTTTTTTAGAGAGAGCAGCAGCTGTTTCTGAGTCGTATATATAAAAAGGAGCTGCACTGCACACGTACAGTACAGGCACTGCTATTGCTAGCTAGCACTTCTGTTGTCCATCCATCAAACGAAGCAAATCGCCAACAAGCCATGCACCCGGTGCCACTGCGATCGTCGACATCGAGCCCCAGCAGCACCGCCGCCAGCGCCACGCGGGTACACCCATCCGACACCGACGCCGACGCCGTCGCTCATCGTCACGACGGCGGCGGCGCCACCAGCCTCCGCGCCGTGGGGGACAGCCGTGGCCAGGGTCGTCAGCCGGCGGTGTACACGGTGTGGAAGAGGTCAAGCATGGGCTTCCACGGCACGGACGGCTTCTCCGTCTACGACGCCGCCGGCGGTCTGGCGTTCCGCGTCGACAACTACTCCCGCCGCCGGAAGCTCTTCGCCGGCGAGCTCCTCCTCATGGACGGCCGCGGCGCGCCGCTCCTGGCTCTCCGCCCGCAGGTACGTACGCACGCTCTGGTTGATTAACTGATTGCGTATGGTTGCGTTTTTATGTTAGGGACGACGATTCATCGCATCCGGCTCATAGGTCATAGCATTATTCATATATCGTAGATTCGTACTAGTATGGATGATCTTCCATTATTCTGTCAATCCGGAGAAGAAATGTGCAATCTTTCTTGTTATGAGGTGGGCAAATTAAAGATTGAAAGATATCTGCTGCGTGTCCGGCTTCATTTCTTCTAAATCATGCAATACAATCGAAATCCACCAATTCAGTATATATTCAGAAATCAGAATCCATTCTCCTCCAAAGATGTGCAAGTTGTAATTAACATGAGTCCAAAGATTCCGTGGCCCTCTGCAAAATACAGGTATACAACTACCTGCAGAAGCTTGCACACAGATGACAGATGCTGCAAACATGCCTCTACTTGAAAGAAGAAAAAAAACCCCACAAAGCAACTATCGTCCAAAAGCCTGCAAACAACCAAAATGCATTGGTTTCTCAGATACTATGGCTCTTGTTCATATATAGTTTGTTTGTTTTCTTCACGCGCTTTGATATACATGTCATTAACTTATTAGTTATTACACGCTTACAGCTGTAAACTGTAATAACAGAAGCGACAACACCTGCAAAATAAAAATTACCAGATCGGAGCACTAGTAGTATCTATCACTGCTACGGGAAAATTTAACCGTGGCGGGCAAATAGTATTAACCGAGGCGGTTTTTCAAACCACCTTAGTGGAAAGGTCACGGTTAATCGTGGCTTTACCGAGACGGTTCAAATGCCCGCCTCGGTTAATCAAATAAAAAAAGAAAAAAAAGAAAAGCCCGTGGATAAGCCCAGTGAGCCCATCCACGGGCCCGCCAAGCTCATCCACGCGCCGCACCGCCACTCGCCGGATCCGCACCGCCGTCGCTGGAGGAGGTCGCCCGCTCGCCGGATCCGCCCGCTACTCGCCAGATCCGGCCACCACAGGCGCGGATCCGGCCTCCAGCCGCCGGATCTCGCCCTCCACCACCGCCACCGAGAGAAGTGAGGGAGAAAGAGGGTGAGGCACGCCGCCGCCGGCCTGGGGAGCAGTGCCTGGGGAGCCGGCCCTCCACCACCGCCATCGAGAGAAGTGAGGGAGAGAAGAGAGTGCCAGATCCGCGCCGTGGTGGCTCCATCCCGCTGGATCCGCCGCCGGAGGCCACCTCTCCGCCGGATCCGCGCCGTGGTGGCTTCATCCCGCCAGATCCACGACGCCACCCGCCGGTGGAGCCATGGAGGTAGGGGAGGAGGGTGGATCCGCGCCACCGGGAGGGGCCGAGCCGCCCTGCGCCTTGCCCGACGCTGGATCCGGGAGGAGCCGCCGCCAGGAGCTGGGCCCGCGCCGCCGCCAGTAGCCGTCGTAGGCGAGAGTGGAGGAGAGAGGGAGGGTTGGGGAGGGGGCCGTCGAGAGGGGAGGGGAGGGGGCCATCGGGCGTCGGGCGCCGCGCGCGACTTCACGAGGAGTGCGCGTCGGGCAAGGGAGGACACCGGAGGGAGAGAGGAGTGCGGCTAAGGAGGGAGTGAGGAGCTGAGGCTGAAAACCCTAGTGAGGTATATATATATGTGTGTGTTCGGAACTGGGCCTCTTGGGCTAGCGGGCTGGGCCTGATTTACCGAGGCGGTTATTTTAGCGGTTATTTTACAATGCTCGTCTCGATTAATGATTTACCGCGGTGGTTATTTTACAATGCCCTAACCGAGGCGATTGCTGTCCGGCTGTCCTGCCTCGAATAACCGAGGCGGACAACCGGGCCGCCCGCCTTGGAGCCCCAAACTGAAACGCGGCGGAAAAGATTTTCTGTAGTATCTCCCTTCCCTTGGTTACTTGTTTCTTTATTACCCGCCAGTTTTGAACAGCAGTAATGTTTTTTGAAAACGAAGTAATAATGTAATGTGCCCTTCTGCGTGCCGTGACAGATTCTCAGCATGCGCGACCAATGGAACTGCTACAGAGCATCATCAGAAGAATCCGCCGGCGACAAGAGCTTCCCCAGACGGCAACATCTCTTTTCAATGAGAAAATGCTCGCTCGTCAAAGGCACTGACGAAGCGGAAGTGTACATGGCATCAGGATCAGCGGCTCACGGCGCCCACCAAGTCCCGAGCTTTACGGTGCAGGGCAGCTTCTGGAGGAGAAGCTGCAAGATCCGGAGGGGCGATGGCGAGGAGGTGGCGAGGATAACCAGAAAGAAGGCCGGAGGAGCGGCGGCGTCGGAGGCGGTCACGCTCGGGGAAGACGTGTTCAGCCTCACGGTCATGCCGGACGCTGACTGCATCATGGTCATGGCTTTCGTTGTCGTTATGGACCGCATCTGCCAGAGGCCGTACAAGCCCTTGATGTGTTCTTCTTCGTCAGGGTCCTGTTCTTCGTAGGCCATGCATGGTGCTCATGAAGGGCTTTTGTTTGGATCCAACTTGTGAAACTTGGTGCATTTGCATGGCTGTGTGTGAGGGAAATGTGGTGCTGATCGAGGCAGTAGATTAATTAAGAAGGGTAGGGATTTGTAGTTGCTAATTGCAGAGATGTCGCCAACTGACTGACTGGACAGAGACAGCCAACATGGTAATGTTTTAAGTTGTAAGTTGTAACTCGATCTTTTAGAGCAAAAGATGATGAAAAATCAGATTTAATTGGAACCTTACATTGCAATTGCTATAGATAGAGACTGCAGTTCAGTCTAGTGCATAGCTAGTGTGATCCCTAACTTTCAGGGAATGTTCCTAACTCCTAAGGGCTGTCTTCTTTATACTCAAACTCAAAAGGAAGATGCAAATGTTACAAGTTGGCTTGGCTACGAACAAACAGAGAAAAGGGATGGTGCCAGTAGGCAGCTGTACCTGTTGTCCTAGTTGCAACTTGCTACATATGCTTGTTGCTGTCTCAACTGTCAACTGGCTACCAACTCTCTGGCAATGAGCTGCCGCCCATTGTTCTTGTCCTAGGGCAGTATCAATGTATCCTCCTCAAGTGTTAATGGTTTACACCTAGATATGCAACTTGTGAAATAACTAGTGTGTTTGGCAAGGGTGAGTAGGACAATGCAAAAGACGAAAGTGACCAAAGTGAGCTGCATCCCAGAAGATGATCCTGAAAAATAATAGGTTCAGTATCTGATCAGTGACCTCAGCTATATTCGGCGTTTTAGAGCATCTGAGCGTTTGCAGTACTGAAGAGGAAGCAGAAGTACGAGTTGTCACTTGTTTGTTTTCTCTCAGCTTGTCGCAGTGCATCTCTGAATATTAACATCTGTCCGTCAATACTGGCATGAAATATATGGCACTAGCTAGAAATGTGCTGAAAAAGAGCATATAGCATTTTTTCAGCGCGCGTGACAATTGTGATTTGTGACAGCATGTCATGTAGCCTTGTAGCGAACTCAGTTTGATTTTGCGGAGGTGAAAAATGGTACTTACTGCAGTGCAGAACTCACCTGAACGTTGGTAAAGTACAACTGTAGGGTAGGTATCTTACTATTACTAATTAGATGTTTCAACGGAGGCTCCATGTTAATTTTCACTGGACGTGTTAGAAAACAAATAAATATAAGAAATTCTTACATGAGTAAACATCTGGCCATTAATCGAAAGATTCTATCTAAAGAAGTTACTGCCCTCCATCGTTACAAATAAAAAATAGCCTAAAATATCATTGTCAATAAAAAAAACTCTGGCCACACGGGATAAAATATTGAACGGCCGGTGGTTAATAAAATATCCAATATACTATATACTACCGATATAACCTTAAAAGTTGGTTAATATAACGGTAATGCTTGGGCGTCTAGACGGACCGGACTGCACTCCACCTTATCCATCGCCGCTCGTTAGTCCACTTCTCCAAAGAAAAATTAAAAAAGACAGCGTTGCTCCCTTCTCTAGCGCGAGGCTCCTCGCCGTGGCCTTCTCCAGCGCGGCAGCGCCGCATACGCTCCCATCCCGCGCTGCTCCATTCTCCTCTCCCCCACTTCGCACCGCATGGTGTGGCCTCGCCGCCCTGCTCTGTCGTGCCATGGCCCACTTTGGAGCACCATTGACGCACCCCCCACGCCGCCCTCCATCCCCGCCTCCGTCTCTTGCCGCGCCGTACCGTGCTCCATCCTCCGCTACACCCAGGACAGGCGGACAGGAAAGGGGGCCATCGTTGGCCGGGCCCATGCCAGGCGCAGGCGCAGCTGGCCACTGCCAGGTTGCGCCACCATCCTCGGCCGCCAGCTTGCCGGAATCGGCCGTCCCCGCTCTGTGTTGCGTCGTACGGAAGAAGGGTGAAAATTGCATGTTGCAAGAGTATATTTCAAGTGTTTCAGATATTTTAGAGGTATGTTGCAAGTGTTGTATATCGATGTTGCAAAAGTAGATCGAGATGTTGCACATGTTGTAATAGCTATCCACTAATGTTTCAAGTGTATGTTCTAAATGTTTCGTTTGTTCCAGACGTATGTTGCAAGTGTTTTTATTTGGATGTTGCAACGTAGATCTAGATGTGGCATCTAAATGCACGTTGCAAACATATGTTTCAGATGTTTTTAAGTGTTTCACACGTATGTTTGTAAGTGTTTTATTTGGAGGATGCACATGTTTGCAATGGTTTTAAAAAAAATTCAGGCGTTTTTGCAAGTGTTTCAGACGCTTGTTTCAAGTGTTTCATCCGTCTTCTTTTTGTATGTTACAACTGTTGCATCCGGATGTTTCAAAAATAGATCAGGTGTTGCACATGAGATGCGCGTAGGAAGCGGCTGATGGCGCGGGCAATGTTCGGGGCGGCGTGGGCGATGTCCGGAGCGGCGCAGGCGATGTCCAGGGCGGCGCGGGTCCACTGCTAGTGCGCTCCACCACCGGTGGCCACTCCGGCCCCAGCGTCCATCCACAAACCCCCCGCCACCATCCCTCCTTGTCGGTGCACTGGCCGCGGCTCCCATGGAACCCGACTCATGCTCACGCCTCTCCTAGGCGGACGAGGTCGAGGCGGAGGAGTCCTCCCGCCGCGCGGAGGGATCCGTTCCTTTCGAGTTATCGCCGCGTGCGGCGGCTGCCCATGCTACCCTTGTGCTTCAAGCGAGCTCCCTCGACCCTGACGCCGAGCCGTTCGTCGCTTCCCTGGGCGGGTCCGAGGCGAGGCTGCACTTCTGGGACTCCGAAGCCTCCTTCGGCGATGCCGAGGCCCAAGATCTGTCGGGCCGCGGGAAGGGGGCCACCAGGCCGCGGCGGCAGCACCGCCGTCATCGTCGCCGTCCGCGCCGTGGGGATTTCATGGTTCATGCCCCTCCTCCCCGGCGCAACGTCGCCTGGCGTCTATTGTCGCCCATCCCTCGCGCATGTCCGTGGAGCCGAACGCGGAGGGGTTCAGGCCGGTGCAGAGCCGTCGTCGCTGGCATCGTGTCGCGTTTCCACGGTGGCCGATGCCAGCCAACTTATTGGTAGGGAAATGCTTCAACTGCCTCTCCGGCGACCACGTCAAGGCGGACTGTACCTCTCAGTCCAGGTGCTGGTCACCAGGCGCGCGACTGCCCAACGCCGCCGGCAGGCCCTTGGGAGGGCAAGCGGGGGCGTTCACCTGGCTGGTTCCCTAGTCGTGGGCGTGGCACACCCGTCGGCGTCGCTCCTCCCCGAGTCGTGCCTCGCCTGCAGACATGGCCTCGGCGCGTTCGGCGTCAACGGGTAGAGCGTCGTCCGTCCCGTCGGTAAGCGAGCCTCCTACGCCGGAGCCCGATCAGTCGCTAAGTCCGCGGATCCTACCGTTGACGCGCCTGAGGGCGCGGCGCCGTCCGGTTCGGGCACGGGCGCCGGTTCAACCTTGGGCGGCAATCCTGGGGCTGCGGCCGATGTCCTGGGAGGTGGTCCGAGACCCTCCGAGCCTCCCGTCCGCCAGACCGGCTACCCCAGATCCCTTCTCCGGCGCGTTGAAGAGCCACCGGCTTCGCCACGGACGCGGGCCAAGAAACCACTACTCGAGCTGGTGGTGGTGCCGCGTACCCCGGCCCTGCAGGCTGCGGAGGATGCGCTGTCGTTGGCGCTGCTAGCGCTGGTTCTCGGGACTCGGCCGGCGGTGACCCCGGCGATGATGCTGCACCACCTGCAGGAGCACTTCAGCATCGCGGCGACCAGGTGACCGTGCGCAGGGCCAGGCCGGACGACTTCATTGTTTGGTTCAGCCAGCATGAGGATCTCAAGCGGGTGCTGAGCACGCCATCGCCGGAGGGGGCGCCGTTCATCTTGCGCTGGCGCAGATGGAGTCGCCTGATCATGGGCTCTGTTGGCGCCTTCCGGTACCGTGTGCTCGTCGGTATGAAGGGCATCGCGGCACACGCTCGATCTTTCGAGGTGGCCCAGACGATCCTCGAGTCCTCGCACTACCGGAGACTGTGTAGTTACCGAGTGCCCCGACAATTACCGAGTGTAAGAAGTCGGGGCACTCGGAAAACAATATTTACCGAGTGTCAACACTCGGAAAACAAAAACACCCGGTAGCAGACCGCTTTACCGAGTCCACACACTCGGTAACTTAAGACAATCGGTAAAACTACAAGTTTACCGAAGGGGCGCACTCGGTAAAACTAGACACTCGGTATTGAGGTGCCACGTCACCTAGGATAGCAACCGTGCGCCGAACGGCGTCACGGCATGACATGTTTACCGAGTGTTATGAGCGTACACTAGTAGAAAACAGACCTTTCATCCGAGGCTAAAATGGGCTTTAGTCCCGGTATTTTTTGCGCCCGGGACTAGAGAGACCTTTAGTCCCGGTTGGTGTCTCCAACGGGACTAAAGGTCCATGCTCAACGGCTATCTGCGCTAAACACGATGGCGAGGGACTTTAGTCTCGGTTGGAGACACCAATCGGGACTAAAGGTGGGATTTTTACTCCCGGTTGGAGCCACCAACCGGGACTAAAAAGTCTCAACCTTTAGTCCCGGTTGGTGTTACCAACCGGGACACTTTAGTCCCGGTGATGGTAACACCAACCAGGACTAAGAGATTTTTAGTCCCGGTTGGTGCATGGGACTAAAGGTCCCCGATGGAGTTAGTTCAAAGGAAGCATCCCATCTATTGTCGGATGTGTTGTGTAGGTGGGGTGGTAAGCGCGCGAGGCAATGCATGAGGTCTTGGGTTGAATCTCAAATGGGAGATATTATTTTTTTTTTAAAGTGGGAGGACCTTTAGTCCGGTTGGTGTTACTCCGGGACTAAAGACCCCCATAGTTCGACCGGGACTAAAGGACCCTTTAGTCCCGGATGCTTAAAGAACCGGGACTAGAGGTGGTTCCCCACCGGGAGTAAAGCCCGTCTCTGTATTAGTGGTACACTCGGCAAAAATCACGGTAACAGACTCCACCGTAAAGCGCCATAGCAAATAAAAACCGAAAATGTTTACCGAGT